AATATCAACAAGCTTCGTAATGACTAAAATTATGATCTAAACACAAATATGACAGAATAAAAGTGAAGAAAAATTAACAATAACTCGGAAAAAATATCTTGTTCTGAAATGTCATGTGTAAGCGCAGCAACTTTCCCTCCTCCAGAACTAACATTTTAAGCAACACTTGCTATTTTTAGATATTTATACCACAGAGCAGCACATAATGTCTTCTACAGACATGGTTAAATATTGAAAAATAAAAGGCACTTTGATGCTAGTCTTCAAAAATAATAATTGGACTCTCTGTACAAAACACATTTTCCCCAAAACAAAATCCATGAATGACAATTTGAAACTATGACAGAATATATTCTGAATAAAACGGTCTTGCTCGTACCCATAGAAGCAATAAGAATTTCCGCATCTTATAATGATAGCAGAAACATTAGACATTATATCCGATAACCATTTAAAAATATTACACCAGTCTTATGAATAAAGTATCCATCAGGGGTAAATCCTTTTATCACACAAATTAAAAGACAAAAATCTTTCTAAATTTGAAAGGACATTACAACAAGGATAAGCTTAATCGATTCAAAAGCCATGAATAATGCAAAACAAGAAAATGTCATGTTATCTGGATCTCCAATACAACACGCATGGATTGTTTTCATTATGATTATCAGAAGTATTGTCTCTTCAAAAGTACATGGATAAAAGCATAAAATAATAAAAACAGATTGATGAGGGAACTATTGAAATAATACTGTGTTCATATAAATTCAACAGAAACATTTCCCAACAAAGCCTATTCACACATTGCACATGTATCACTAAAAAGTACAGATAGAATATTTTCTTAAACTTGATACAGTTAAAAGCTTTATGCTAACTGGCTTCTTTGTACTTAGATCAATCACACTATGATAAGCTTTATGAATTGGGCTCCTAACTATATATTATTGCTTTCTAAGGTTTGTTGGGAAAGCAACACAGTGAGAATTTGTCAATCTAGCATTCCAAAGCCTTTTAATTTACTGATGTTCCTTGACAAATTCGGTGTGGAATTTCTTGAAGCCTTCAAGCATTTCTCGTAGTTTTTCAGTTTGAGGAAGAATTGTTGTCCTGCAAACAGAATAAAGTAAAATCATTTCACAAAATATTTTCCTTAAATAGACAGAGAAATATTCTTTGGTGAAAAATGGATGTTGGAAATATCAATAGTTTGGAAGGGGATTATTACTAAAACACGCAAAAACTGCTGCCTACCTGAAATGATATGTGCCGGGCTTCTGGCCAAACCCAGATCCAGGGACAATGCAAATGCCAGTTCGCTCCAGCAGCTCAAAAGCATAGTAGGCGTCTGGTGCCTGCCCTTTGGCTTTAGCTGCCTCAATCGCTTTAGCTGGTAGTTTTATCTAAAAAAAAAAAAAAAAAAAAAATTACTATCACCGTTTTAGATTACACATTTAGTAGTATGCTTGTAGTATGTGGATTGGGACACACCTGTGGAAAAGCATACATAGCACCTTGCACAGTGTTACATGAGATACCATCTATACTATTAAAAGTATCGGCAACCAGCTTGGCCCTCTCATTCAATGACTTCAGAACAGAATCCTTTTCTTTCTTCCATGTAGCATATGATGGTTCACCTTCTTTGGGAGGAGCAACAACACAATCCATAACGGCCTGCAAAGAGAGGACACCATGTAAGGAAGTATTGAAAAACTAAACAGAAAAAAAAATTGTCCTCTCCAAAGGAAATATGTTTTATACCTGTCCAAGGACAGTAGGGCACAGCATGGCAGATATTGATTTCAGGTACATTGCTTTGACATTGGGGCACAAATTAATTACTTCAGCATAGCCACCACGTAGTCCGCACTCACCCATGTACCCTGAAGGAAAACAAAATAGTATGATACCAATGACAACTAAATAATTTTGGTAAAAACATTACAGACAACACTTACCCTTGGAGCAAGACATGAATGAAGCTAACTCCATCTTACTATAGGGTTCTCCAAGCTCTGTTAGTACTTTCTTGAAAGAGTGGAATTTGCTTCCCTCTGCATAGACATTGTCTTGATACACTTCATCAGCAAAAATGATCAACTTCTCCTTGTATGCGAATTTGATAATTTCCTCAATGTTTTCCCTTGACAATACCTGGCCTTTAAGAAAAGGTCAGAGCAAAAATGTTCTTTTAGAAAAACCTTGACTTTTTAAAAGTTGGATAGCTGTCACTATTTTACTTCAGATCTCCAGAAAAGTTTCTGTCTTACCAGTTGGGTTGCCAGGATTAATGATTACAATAGCTCGTACATTAGTTGTTTTCTTTGCTTCACTGATGGATCTTTCTAACTCCTTGATATCTAGACCCCAATTCTTTTCTTCATTCAGGTAATATCCAGCCTTCAAAAACCAACAAAAGGTAAGCACAAATAGTAGTCCCACTTGATCAAATTTTCAATGAAATTTTCACATACGAGGCTCATGTTGAATTCAGCAATAGTCGCAGAATAAAGGGGATATTGGGGGATAGGAACCATCACACCAGGCTTCTTCCCACCCTCTTCATTGATCAAAAGTTTCATGACAGCCTGTGAAATAGATTTAAAAAAATTATTTTTTTACCAAGTTTGTTGAACTTCTCTCTCATAGTTTAAAATGTACAAACCTTAATGCCATCAGAAGCACCAGCAGACAACACAACGTCTTGCCAATCACAAGGAATACCGCCATCTCTTCTTTGAATATATTCCGCAACATGCTTCCTGATGATCTCAATGCCTGGAGAGTCTGTGTACGATCCTGTCAACGAAAAAAATATAGTCATTACTTTCAACTGACAGAAAACAAATAATTGATCAGTTTAGAATACAGTCATAAAATTAGATACCCACCAACACTGCCACCTCTACAGCCTGCAAGAATTTCTCTAGCTCGCTTCTTGACATCTTCAGGGAATTTTGGATCATCAAGGAGAGGTGTGTATGAAATCAAGGCAAGAACCTAAAAGAACAGTGATGAGATCAATTTTTGTCTTACATAGAAATTGTTAAGTCAAATGATGGGAGGAGATCACAGAACATAATAGTGTTACCTGGCGAATGAATGTAATGGGAACCTGCCCCATGGCATGGCAATCACCAATATTGGCCTTCAAAACTGATTTGAATGGTTTTTTGGCACCCTGAAACAAAATTAAAAATAAATAAGAATAAGGAGATGTTTCAAAGAGGTGCTGATGTGTTTATTGTTAAT